GAGCCAGCCGTGCCCCTGCGCGTTCCGGGCACTGGTCGCTCTGCGATCCCGGGCAGCCGGCTGGCAAGCAGCATTCAGATCCGAGCGAGCGAACACTTCCCCTGCGGGGCGGGCTCTCCTCCCTGCCCCTGCTGCTTCTCCTCCCGCCTGGAGGGAATCGCGGGCGGGAGAGGCCGGGGGCTTCCCAGAGGCATCGGGCTTTCCGGGGGAGCAGCGAGCTGACCTTACTGCTGAGGCAGCGCAGACCTTGCCTGTAGTAGCCAAAAAAGGGAGCTGAGATGAGCTCATCGGAGTTGGAGGCGTCGCTCAGGCTCTCTGCCAGCTTGCAGCCAACCAGATCTGAATGAAAATTGCAGGGAGCCTGTTACATCAGCAAAGCCCAGCATTCCCGGCCCTCCACCGGCAACAGCTGAACGCTGGCCTCAGCCGCATGGGAAACACTCCTCAGAAGACATGGTCTCTCTCCTGGGAGGGACAATATCCCGGGTGCTGATCGCCTGGGAATCAAAGTCTTGCACCGGCCTGCCCAGGTGGCTCATTATGCCATTAATTAGTTCCCCGGTGGGTGTCAGGGGAAAGGTAACGTGCCCAAAAAAAGCATTTGCTCTTAAAAATCATTTAACCACCTTTCATTATTCTCTTTTCAGATGAAACTTCCACAAATTGTGTGTTAAACGTGTCTAGCACCTTTACCAACCTGTTTTTTTTAAAGGGGAAGTGGTGGCAAGGAAATCCAACAAGTTCCAGCTTGCCACTGCAGGATAGAGCATGTCAAGAGAGTGTGAAGTACTGGCCTCATCATTTGTAGCAATACCAGCAGCTTTGTTTTTAAAGTCCCCACCATTTTCCCTCTTTGTAGGATAACTTACATATAAGCTAATTTTTTGGTTCTGTTTGCTGTTCCTGTCATACTATATAGCAGAAGAATTTAGAGCAGCCTAAAAGTAGAGTCTTAAGATGTACCTGTTGCTACTCTCTGGCTGTAACTGTAGGGATGAGGCCAAGGTTGATGAGCTGTAAACTCTCAGCCAACAAAATACATTTCTAGGAAGCTGTCATTAACAGGGCAGCTGCTACTCAAGCATCCCTTCATGGGCAGCAAGCACCCTGCCTTCTGATCCCTCTTCTTCCCGGCTCTTTAATAAACCCCACACAAAGAACAGTGCTAAACATGTGTCTTAGCCCTCCACCAACATTAAATAAGTTTAACCCCAACCAGGCGTTGCAAAAGTCAAACCATGAAGGTCCAAAAACAAACCAGTTCTTAAGACCACCCTGTTTTCAGCACCTTTCTGGGCTACTTTTAAGTATTTCCCTTTCATCTGGAATCAAGCACTCAGCACCAGACTGATTCCCCTGGAATACCACTGTTCTATACACTTCACCTCAAAGTCTTCTACAGGAGCCTACCTGCTTATTGTGTTTCTGGTCCCAGACTGAGTTCCCTGAGTTCTTTTTAAAGACCCAGCTGCTTATTAAAGTATGAGCTGATCCCTCTGAGCCCCTGCCCCTCAGACTTGAAAGAAGCTAAGGCACAGGAGTTGCCTTAAAGGAGCTCATTAGCCTGGAATATAGCTTAAGCCTGTGGGTTAAATTGAAACAATGTAAGTTAGAACACATGAATGGGCATACCAGGTCAGACACATGGTCCATTTATCTCAGTATCATGTCTTCCAACAGTGGTCAGTGCCAGTTGCACAGATCAGGATAATATATCAAGTGATCCATTCCCTGCCATCTAGTTACTGTTTCTGGCTGCCAGAAATTTTGGGACACCTAGAGCAGTGTTTCTCAAATTGTGCTCTGCGGCACCCCACGGCTCCATGAGACATCTCCAGGGGCTCCGCGAGGTTGACAAACACATACAATCAGTGGACTGCTAGGGCTCCGCATAAATTGTTATGCTTGTAAAGGGCTCCAGAGCCCAAAAAGTTAGAGAACTGCTGATCTAGAGCATGCATGGCCATCTTGGCTAATAGCCAGGGCTCAACAATTAGTGTAATCTACTCGCTTGTGGCAAGTAGATTACAAGCCGGCACAGCCATGCAGCGCGGTAAGCGCACGCGCAGCACGGTCTGCGCATGTGCAGCGTGACAAACCGTGTGGATGGTGAGCAGGGCTAGTAGCCATTGATGGACTTCTCTGGGAATTTCTCTCATTCTTTTTTTAATCCTGTTATATTTTTTACCTTTACAGCATCCCCTGGAAATGAGTTCCACAAGCTGAATGTGCACTGTGTGAAGAAATGCTTCCTCATTTGTCTCAAACCTGTTACCTGTTATTCCCTGGTTCTTGTGTAATGTGAAGGAGTAAATAACACTTCCTCGTTTACTTTCTCCACACCATTCATGATTTTTAGACCTCTCTCCCTTTAGTCATTTCTTTTCCACATTGAACAGTCCCAGTCTTACTAATCTCTTCTCATATAGAAGCTGTTCTATACTTCTTTTCATAGTTGTTGCCTTTCTCTACACTTTTAATTTTTTTAAAGATGGGGTGACCAGAACTGCACTCAGTACTCAAGATGTAAGTGTACCAGTGATTTATGTAGAGATATTAAGATATGTCAACTCTCAATATCTATCTTCTGATATCTTCTAATATCTCTTAGGATTTTGGGTGTTTGATGACTGCAGCACATTGAGCAGATGTTTTCAGAAAACTCTCTCTTCCTGGTGTGCATCTACACTGCACCATAACTCAAAATAAGATATGCAATTTGAGCTACGCAAATTGTGTATCTTATTTCAAAGCTATTGCATCATTTGGTGATGTCTATGCAGTGCCAAATTTTGAAATAAAGTGCTATTCCGAAACATCCTTTACTCTTCATAGCATGAGGTTTATAGGGATGTTGGAATAGTGAGTCCGAAATAACAGGCTTGCTGTGAAAACACGGGATAGCTATTTCAGGATACTCCGTTATCCCAAAATAGCACTGCAGTGTAGAAGTACCCCATCATTTTGTATGTATAGTTGAAATCATGTTTTCCATTGTGTATTACTTGACATTTATCAACAGTAAATTTTATCTGCCATTTTGTTGCACACAACAAATTTTGTAAGATCCCTTTGTAACTCTTCAGTCAGTTTTTGATGTTATCTACAGTAATTTTGTATCATCTGCAAACTTTGACACCCCATTCTTCATCTCTTTTTCTAGATCATTTGTGAATATACTGAACAGCACTAGTCCTAGCACAGATTCTTGGGAGACTCCAGTTTACTTCTTTCCCCTGTAAAAAGTGACCATTTGTTTGTATCCTTTGTTTCCTATCTTTTAACCAGATGCTGATTCATGAGAGGACCTTCCTTCTTATCCCAGGTCTGCCTACTTTCCCTAAAAGCTCTTGGTGAGTGACCTTTGTCAAGTGATTTCTAAAAGCCCAAGTACACTGGATCACTCTTGTCCTCATGTTTGTTGACCCCCTCAGAGAATTCTAATAGACTAGTGAAGCATGATTTCATTTTACAAAAGCCATGTTGGCTCCTTCCCAACATAACACCATCCTATACCTGAAACCTACTGACTGCTACACTTACCTTCATGCCTCTAGCTTCCATCCCCGACACATTTCTCAATCTATTGTATACAGCCAACCCCTTAGAAACAACCAGATTTGTTCCAATCCCACAGACAGAGACAAACACCTACAGGATCTACATAGAGAACTCTTAAAACTAAAATACCCACCCGGAGAAGTGAAAACACAGATCAACAGAGCCAAAACATGAACTACTTCAAGACAGGCCCAAAATTGAAAACAATAGAATTCCACTTGTCATCACCTACTTAACCCCTTCCAACGCATTATCAACTATCTACAACCTATCCTGGAAAATGACCCCTCACTCACTGGCTATGTCTACACTACAAGGTTTTTGTGCAAAAACAACTGTTTTTGCACAAAAACCAGTGGAGCATCCACACATCAAGCATGTTTTTGCCCCCCCAAAAATACAGTAAATTGATAGGACAGAGGACTTTTGCCAGTAGAGTTATTCCTCTCCCCACGAGGAATAACTCTTTTGTGCTAAAGCTCTTGCGCAAAAAGGCATGTGTGGACGCTCCACAGCGGTTTCTTATGAAAACAGAGCCTATCAGAAAAAGCACAGGTGCTCTGCCATTAATAGAATGGCCATCAATCAGAGCTTTCTTGTGCAAGAGCATTCATGCAGTGTGGATGCTCTTTTGCACAAAAGCACATCACTTTTGCGATGTGCTTTTGAGGTGCGGACACGCTTTTGTGCAAGAAGTTTTTGCAGAAGATCTCTTCATAGCATGAGGTTTATAGGGATGTTGGAATAGTGAGTCCAAAATAACAGGCTTGCTGTGAAAACACGGGATAGCTATTTCAGGATACTCCGTTATCC